TTGGAATATATGACTATATTATATACGTGATACAAAAGCACTTTAATTGTTTGGTGATTATTGTAAATTTTCAAGAGTAACCCCTAATTATCTAAAATGGGTTTTTTTATAAATATATTTTTTAAATGAATATATAAATATAATACTGCATAATTTTTAGATTAGTGAAAAATTTGGTAATTATTTTTTTTTACTAATTTCTAAAGTCTTTTTATTTATTTTTCAAATTAATGMTTTATTGCAGGCGATATAATAATTATAATAATATTTTTATTTTCATTTCTGAAACAGAATAATTTCTAAAAATGTAAATATTATAAAATAAGATTTCAAAATGTGTAGTTGATTAGTTTTAAAGTTTAAATGCTTGGTGTGGCTCAGAGTGGTACAACCGTAATATTATTTTTTTTGTTCATTACTCGGCTTATCTTATATTTGAATATTTGTGACTAGTAAACTTGATTTATATTACATACCTACCTAATGTATTTAAATTCTCAGAAGAAAATATTCAGCTATACAATTTAAAAAAAAAAAAAAATGTAGTAACAGTAAAAAATAATAATATTTTACTAAAAATATGACTTAAAATTGTGTAAAATAAATATTTCTAAAATTGATAATACTTATGAAAAGCAATAGAGGTAGATTACAAAGTAGCTAAATCAAAACCAAATACTTTTTATAACAATATATCACGCATGGTTCTAACTTTTATGAAATAACTTGATTAGGTAATGATATATAAATATTTTTTTTTCTACTTGACATGTTATTTGTGAGTAATCAATTTACTCTTGATTAAATATTTAATAGTTTTAAAAAAAAACTGTATAGTTACTCACTGATAATGTCATTATATTATGAACTAAAGTTAATCTATTTAAATATTTGCACGAAACTATAATTTAATTTTTTTTTTAAATTAAAAATAATTAAATTTGACATAAAATATCAGTTGTATGCAATCAATTTTTGTTATAAAAATTTTAGAAATAAGTTCATAAAAAAGTGGAAGTTAGAAGTAGGTAATGAGGTCGRCACATTATTAAATTTGTTTATTTACGAAATACAYGTGGCCAGTAAGCTGCCAATTTCTATAAGACAAATAAATTGGGTGCATTAGAGATTGYAGTTTAGTCAATTTTTTTCYCCAGAAGACTAAAATACTATCCTTACTTTAGACTCAAAAATCATCTACCACCCTGAGAAAAAACATTATAATTATTTTGTGTTATTATATTGTTAGTAATTTTAATATTTTTTCTCCCGGAGTTGGTAAAATAAAATATGTTTTATTAGRTATATTATATATTATGTTTATCAAAATTTACTCACTAGATTTCTACGAGCTCACAGTTGAGGAGTGCTTTTCCTTCGCCAATCTCCACAATTGCTATGGTTTGGTCATGRTGATAAATCATGCGCAGAGACGTTGGCTTCAGCTTGTATCCAGTATAAGTTTTGGTYGGACTCTTCACACCGTGAGCTACGCAGATGACGCCGGCCAACAGGGTGTAAACCACCCACAAGTACGATGAAGACATTTYRGTGATTTATTTATTGATTGATTTCTGTAACACTAGGGTTCCGTGACATTTGGCTGGCGAGTGGTKAGAAGACGAACAGACTCTTTGTTCTTATTGATATTATGCCTGTAAATAAACATAAACACAATATTACAATGCAAAGTTGTATAATTACAATAATTTAAATAAAATYCAAGTGTTTTAGATTCTGATACGAGAGTGTAGATAAATTATGAATTCTTTAGAACTCAACCATGTCAGAAACATTTCAAGGTGTGAGTAACAAATTAAAATTAGTATAATTAAACTAACCCTGGCATTGACGTATACYTTCACTAGCAATAAACACTTTATAGATAATGTTAAATCGTATATATAATGAAAACAGTATTGATAAACTGCAGGCATATCTGGAATGTAGTATATAGTATTTTTATATTTTATTTCATTGCAAAATTATTAAATCCTCTAGAGTCTAGACTCTAGACACACTCATATACAAAGTAATTCATCAATATACCATTGTACATACATTATGAAAATTAAAAAATTAATGTATAAATGCAATTATTCACATAATTAGTTTATTTAAATTGTATATAATAATATTGTATACCTGAGTAATGTGTTTAAAAAATTATCATATATCTATATACTATTATATTATAACATTTGTAGATGATACATAAAATATGATTTAATAGCTTTGAAACTACTAGTTTATATTTCGATATAGATAATGCAAAAACATTAAACAAAAATAATAATTTTATTAATAAGCTATAGAAAATTAAGAAACATTTAAAAAAATTAATTTTTATCACCACACACTCCTTAAATAGTGTAAAAAAAAATTCTAAGTGTTTGATAATAATAGTATACATGTTTAGATATGTATATACATGTGCAGAGTACTTAAAATTTCCAAATTGAATTTTTTTTGTATGCCTATAATAATAATTAAAAGTAGGTACTGTGGGGTGACCCAAGCTAATTTGAGCATCCTTTCTAATATTATATTATTTATCTATGTTTTATAATGCTTCATATTATGTTACGGTTATAGTGTTCATGAGGAACGAGATCATTATTATAATAGGAATCTAGATAATATTTAAAGAATACAAAATATGTTGGACGAATTAAAAGTGTTACGATGATTATATAATATAATTATAGTTTAAACGCATAGTACATCTACATATTGCAGTTATCACAGTTGTTCGTTTCGTTTTTGATATGTGTGTTTAATATTATTATTATGCATATTAAATYACGATGGTAACATTATTATAAACGATTTACGATTTTCGTTCCACGAGAGAGATCGAAAAAAAACGACACTCGGATGAGGTTTTACAACTGGATCTACCGAAGACCGTGTTACCGGTTGTTTTGAATTACTGCATTATAGATGTTACACGCTTGACGACGAAAACGACAAAATTTTCTAGTCTGTTAAAATTTTACACGCTCATTCTATAACGCTACAATTATACAGCTGAAGACGAGCGTAAAATATTAAGCATCTCATATCACAAAATATAATAATAATATCATTACGATATAACATAATAATTAATGTACCTACTGTAACAATAATAGGCGCATACATTTCATCACATTTTAGTGTGACTAAATGTGTACACTAGCTTGTCGAATTATTCAAAAATAAAGACCTATTATAATACTGTTACCGTACGGAGCCAGAAACTAATCGATATCGATTGTAGATGGATGATCAATAATTATTATGTTATATCGTAATGATATTATCATTACGATATAACATAATAATTAATGTACCTACTGTAACAATAATAGGCGCATACATTTCATCACATTTTAGTGTGACTAAATGTGTACACTAGCTTGTCGAATTATTCAAAAATAAAGACCTATTATAATACTGTTACCGTACGGAGCCAGAAACTAATCGATATCGATTGTAGATGGATGATCAATAATTAAAAAAATATATTTACAACCTATATAGGTACGTTAAAAACTGGTGGTTCTCATTTGAAAAAATCAAGTTCATTTCATTACGATAGCACGCCACTCTCACTGCATATCATAATGTAGGTATACAGGTATACTGCATAAAAAACCTGAGAATTAAAAAATATCTTCTTTGAGTATATATATAATATATTAAAAAAAAATTAAAATCCAAATTTAAATAAAACATGCTTAATCAACAGTGGATAARCATGTGTGGTGATCACTCAGTATTTTATATTATGCTAGTAATATGTTCTACTACGATCGCCGTCACTGCTTTAATACTATACCTACCAACCTATTACAACTACACTTCCACTACTTTTGTCATAAACCTACACACAGATGTATAKTATATGGTAATATTTCGGTTGATCTTTGACCTCGAATGTAACACATATGAGATACTATTATGGTGAGAGGAGTAAAATACTCCGGAGGCAACGGAATATAACGGTACTCGTAAAGAAATAATAATAGTAATAATAATATTATTCGACGTTAACAATCGCACCGGTGCAGCGTTGCTTGGAGATGATAATATAAGCTTACACGTAATAAAATAGATAGGTACGTCCTACTGTCTTTACATATTGTAGCGTTTTTACAATATTATACGAGACAACAAGCGTACATACAGAATTTTGAGTCTGGTTTCAGTCGTCGGCGTAACATCTGCAAAGCTTTTAAAATTTAATGTTACCATCTGGAGACGACCGCGGTTTTAAAGAAAACAATGTTACACAGCGAACTTTTTTACATATTTAATCGATTATAAGGTAATATCGAAATAAAACCACATATTGAAATTATTTTTGTTTGCGAAAAACATATTATAATCTGCCGTTATTCGTAGGTGCTTATTGAGTCACGCGCGTGTGTTTACACAACCGTCGTCTTAATCCGCGAGTTTTTGACTACCGTCCGCCGGGACACCGTGACGAATACTTATCTGTTGTCTGAAATACAAGACAAAACGTCGTGGTGTGAACGTGTTCAATTGTTACATATTATTATTATTATTATTGTGGCACGCGTTGTACACACGTGTGCAATGACAGCTTTCGAAACGTTTACAAAACGAAACCGGTACGGTTTTTAAAAAGCGCCGTCGGTGATTATGACGTAGGTTAGGTGCCTGCCACCATATTATTATAATGGTATTATATTATTATTCCAAAATCATTCAAATACGCACTATAATATAGGTATTAGGCAGAATCAAAATTAAACGGTTAAATACGGTTTTACGGTTTTTACGATTAAATATTGACGTAATATCGAGAGCGTGCTTTCAGACCTATCGAATAAGTCGTGCGATTCTAACGTAATTATTGTTCGACTACCACCGAAATCATTGTAAAAATTCTGTTAATAC